CTATACCTACACCTTTGTAAATGGCTTTTGCCACCTAGTTATTTCCTCTATTTCCTTTTACTTTCCTCCTGTCCCACTATCATGTTCGACCTTCATTTGGCTCTTTGTACTTCCTCTTGGATGCATTGCACTTGATCAAACCCCACCAGGCATTCTACGCCCCCGTTGCCACCAATGTTAGATCTATTGTTGTTCCCTTGTCCCTGAGTTTGTTGACTCCCCGCTCCCCCTCCCCTCCTTCCCCCTAGAATCTCAGTTCCATTGTTTTCTCCTTGGGATTATTTATTCTGTCTAACTTGTATAGATAGATATAGAGCAAAAGAGAGAAAAGAAAAATGAAAAAGCCTACACATAGTTCCAGGTCTGTCTACTGACCCTTATACATGTTTTCCAATCAGGTCTGATGAGGTGCCACGCCCTGTCCCCCAAGTCAGAAGTCCACTTTCAGGATTCCTCAGTGACGTTGTTACTTTGCTCCCTTTGCTGCCCTGTTGCACTCCCTTCATGTGTCACCCCGCTGTGTGGGGGGCAGACCGGGCACACTTTCCACACAGTGTCTCCACTGCTATCCCTACAGAGTTGTGGGTCAGTGAGGGGACATTGTGTCTCATGGTAGGGCTGGCCATAAGGCCCTCTCTGAGAAGGGGGTTTTTTTGGTGGGGGAAGAAGCATTGTGTGAAGTAAGGGGTGTGTGTGGGTAGTGGGTGCAGGTACTTTAGCCTTAAGTTGTACCTCTTCTTTTAAATAAATCATTTTATTGGGGGCTTTTATATCAATTCATACATGGGTTGTATCAAACACATTTATACATATGTTGCCATCATCATTTTAAAAACATTTTCTTTCTACTTGAGCCCTTGATATCAGCTCCTCTCTTTTCCCTCCCTCCTCTACCCTTCCACCCTCGGGACCCCTTGATAAATGATAAATGATTATTATTTTCATATCTTACACCAACTGCTGTCTCCCTCCTCTCACATCTATGGTTTGTCCACCCCCCAGGGGGTTATACATCGATCATTGTGATCGTCTCTCCCTTTTTCCACCTTCTCCCCTCCACCACCCCATACCCTCCTGGTATCACTACTTCTGTTATTATTCCTGAGAGGTTCATCTGTCCTGGATTCCATGTGTCAGGATATCATCTGTACCAGTGTACATGCTCCAGTCTAGCCAGATTTGTAAGGTAGACCTGGAGTCGTGACAGTGGTTGGTGGGGAGGAAGCATTAAAGAACTAGAGGAATGTTGTGTGTTTCACTGGTGTAATACTGCACCCTGACTCATCTGTTCCTTGTAACCCTTCTCTGAGGGGATTTTCCAGTTGTCTACAGATGGATTTTGCGTTTCTATTTTGACCAGTTGTACCTCTTCTTAAATCCTTTCGAGACAAAATTATTTTGTGCTTCTGGGTTACTGTTTGTTTGTTTGTTGTTGTTTTTCAGTTGTGGAGGCATTTTGACTGAATGGAAATAAAATGTAATATGAATTTTAATATAATTAGTAAGACACATATGTCCTGAGGGGGGCCTATGCTGGGCTTAGTGAAATGAGTCAAATTTCTTCATCACACCCATCTCCACCAGAGGGCCACATACACTAAACGTAGGATAGCAGCGTTCCACTAAACCGCGCAGTGGGGAAATATAGGTCGGCACAATTCCCGCATACTGTGAGAGGAAGTAGGTTTGCTGACCCTCAAAGCTAGAGCTCAGCACCTTCAGGCTTAGGCTTAATGTGGAGTGGAGTGGAGTGCTGTGAGCACTTCCTGGCAGAGCTCAAAGACCTTTGTAACACTTGCCCAAGAGGACAGAAGGCAGGAGGCCAAGGGCCAAAGAAAAGTATGCCTGAGGGTGGTACTGAGAAGCTCATGTCCTAATTGAAGAACTGTGTGCTGAGTGGTTTCTGATCAAGAATTGTAATCTGTGACATCCCTAATAAACCTCATAATCACGAGTATTTTCTGTGGGTTCCATGTGGGCATTGCAACAAATTATCAAACCCGAAAGAGGAGTGGGGGCGGGCTGTGGGAGGACAGCTGGGATGAGAATTGGTAAAACATCTTCATTTCGTCCCCAGTACTGTTTCTGGCATGGCAGGCAGTGACAGACTCTACTGAATGTATTGGAAGCTGTCAATT